GAATTAAATAGAATGCAATAAGATAATTCAATATTACTTTTACAAAAAGAACAAAATATATTATTTGGTATTGATGAAGATATTAGAAATTAAATTAGAATTTTAAGCAGCCACAAATACTTTCTGTTCTTTTTTCTCCTTGAACTCTATCAAATATAATAAAGAAAAAACAAATCTAATAACAAATCTTAAAACCAGAAATCCCAAAAGAAAACAATTATTACTTGTATAAAAAAAGCAGACTGTCTCTAAGCAGTACAAAAATAGCCTTAAATATTTAGGAGTTTATCTTTTAGGCAAATTAATATCTCAGTTTACCAAAATAAAGTTACAAGAAAAAATCCACAACTTCTCAAACACAATAGCCTCCCAGAAAGATTGAAATGAACATATTAGTCAGCAAGCATTACATTGAATAATATCAAATTAACTAGATTATACTATTAATATTACAATTCTTTTAGACAATAATATTAAATCACTGTAGACAAAAATAAATAAGTCTATTAAATCTAAACTTGAGGTAGAATGAATGATTTTAAATAAAATTTCTTATTCATTAACTGGACTTAATATTATGAAACTCCAAAATTGCAAAAACCTTATGACTATTAAGACACTAATAATTAAATTAACCAACTCTAGAATATAATTCTTAACAATTGACAAAATACATTCTATCCAAGTTTCATATATTATATAGTGTTGTTCAATTTGTTTTTCATTTTATTTCTTCAACTCTTGATTAACATTAGTAACAATTTTAGCAAAAAGATATGAAATAAGAATTTGTTTATTCTCTGTTCTCTTAGCTACTAACAGTACAAACATTCCATTAGTTTTATTACTAAGCTTAATAAGCAAATAGCTGTTCTTATTTTCAAGTCTAATATTAAATTCATATATAATATATATATCTTTAATAGAAATATCAAACTTGTTTGAAACAAACTACATATTTATAAAGAATTTATAATATCTGGTCCAATTTCAATATGGTTTATTAATATTCCAAACTTCTCCAACTCTATTACAGAAAATATTACCTATATTTCCAAGCCAAAAAGAAAATTCTGGATATATAATAACAATCAAAATATCAATCTTATTAAAATTAGAACAAATGTTATATTAACTATATTAGTTAAAGGCTAATATTATATTATCAATTATTAAAAAAGAATACTTGGATATTCTTGTTTTATATAGTTATAATTTAAGAAAAAAAAATATAAATAAGCTTAAATCAATCTGGATTACAAGTCATTATAATATTCTATATCTACTTAACAATAATAAAACTAATTGACTCTTTCAATATAAATTCTTAATAGAATCTTCAATTAACTATTATTCCATCTATTCAATAACCATCTCCAATAACAATTCATATTCATTTATATAATAATATACTATTAGTTCAAAAATCTAATAATATTATTCACTACAATCTTAATCCAAACTTCTGATTCATATTTTGGTCAACCTTCTATCAAATTGCATATAATACTTCTCTTTTTTTAATCTTAAACAATTATTTCAATACTATTTCAAATACAATATTACCTAAATACATCAACAAACAAGTTAGAATTTCTTACAGTCATCTTATTATTAACTTTAACAATCTAGTTAAAGCAAAAAATTTAATAGTATTATAATATAAACTTGAATTATATCAATTTCTGATATTTTACTTAACTTCAATACCAAAGCCTTATCCTCAAATTCAGATCACAATTTATATAACTTTATTTTTAATTAACAATAAATATTCTATTAATATTATCTACTAGATAAAATTTGATAATTATTATATTAACTTGTTTAATATATTTTTAAGTCAGTTGGCAATCTTCAAGTCCACTTTACTAGATGATTTTAAGACTATTATAAAAGTTAACAAAAGATTAAAAAAAATTAACCAATTCAAATATAAAGCTTTTTTCACCTTTAAAACAAAAATCATAATCAATTAGCTTTTCACCAGATTAAAACTATATAAAAGATATTTTACCTTATATACTAATAACTTTTGTCTTAAATATAATACATATACAAAAGGTATTATACATATTTTCGAATATATATATAACTGTTTTCTTATTGATAAAAAAAAAAGTAAACTACAAAACATAATACTTAATTATAACAGTGGAAACTGTTTAATATTTTTTCAGCCAAATACAATTACTTTATCAAATCAAAACTTAATCAACTTTATCACTTGTAACTTCAAATATTCATTAGATCAAATCCAAAAAAAACAAGAAAAAATCTTCAATTATATATTTAAAGCTCTTTACAAAGCATAAAAGCAATGATCAGCAATAGTAACTACATTATTATTATCTGAAATAAAGTGGAAAAAAACTGTAAGTGCAAAAAGTACCAATCTAACTTACAATAATAATTCTGTATTTATAAAAGTTTTAGACATTTTACAAAATACAAATAATCATACTAACAAACAAATATTTACTCTAGCTATAGTTTCATTATTCTGAATAGACATTAGTCATTTAATACTATCTATATAAGTTCACCTACTTAATAAAAATTTGTATAGTTAATTATATATTGCAATAGGCTACAATTAACTTGTATATTATCTTACAAAGATTGTTAATGTAATGATAGTAAACATAAAGTTTAAATAAAGTCTTATATTTAATACATGTTTGTAATTAAAAAAAAATTCATAATAAATAAATGTTTTACTAAATAAGAAATATAATTATATAAGCATATACAGTATATAAGTATATTACAAAAAATAAAATAAATTATCTAAAAATTTTATTTGGATTGGTACACAGCAAAACCATGCTCTGAGACAAAATCCTTATTTAGATATCGATGATTATCAATTTAAATTTATATATCGAGCATATAAAATTAAAAAAACTGCGTGTGAGATTGTAACGAATTATAATATATTAATATATATCCAAACTTTTATCACAGATAAAGGACGTTCTTGGGAGTATAATTCACTAAAAATTTCAATTTTTGTTAAAACCTTTCAAAGCATGATTTTGCTGTGTATCAACCCATTTTATTTATTTCTATGCTAATTTATTAATTAATTACCAAATAGAAAAAAAACATTTACTACTTAAAAATATGATTATTTTGACGTAACCACCATCCTATATGCCGGGTGATATAATCCGTTATTACAGTACTTGAATACAGCTGCAGAGCGACGAACTGATCTGCGTTGGTGTTACAGACTCTGGCCAAATTCACACGCCTTTTTTGAGAAAAAAACCCTCTCGAGCGTTACACTACCCCCTACACCAACCCATTCTCCACTACCCCACTCCTAAAGAAACCTTCCCCCGACCCAAACTAATAAAGAAACTTACCTTGTCAAGTGATGATGGTCCCGAGAGTAATACCGGGACGCCGTACGAACGTGCCTGTTGGATAGAGAGAGACGACGCCGAGTTAGTGGTGGTTGAAAACTAAAAAAAAAAAAATAATAAAAAAATAAAAAAATAAATAAAAAAAAAAAAGAGAAAATTTTAATGACACCTGTCCTTAACGTTTCCCCCATACCGCGAAACCAAGAGAAACCTTCCCCCGCCCCAGGATAATGGAGAAACCTACCTTTTACCTGTGCTAGACGCTCTGCAAGTATACAAGGTTGAAGGTAGTGTGCCGAACGTCCAGGATCGCCAAAGAAACAACGGCGACCAAAACAAAAAAAAAGGAAAGGGGCAATGTCGAATCAATAACGGTTGCCAAGAAGAAAGGGAAAGAGCATGTTGAAGCACTTACCTTTCTTGAGACGTCAGCCCCGACGTACGTATCGGGTTGTTGACGAGCGAACGTGGTGGAACTACTACGACGCGGAAATCGGAGCCGCGACAACACGCACTAGAAAAGAAGAAGGGACGACGCCAGTTATTATTAGCCGTCTATAAAGAACAAAGAAAACGATGTCTCACCTGTGGAGCGACGCCAGCGCCGAGGATGCTGGACGATCGCGAAGAAACGTCACGACGCAAGAGAGACCACGGACGAGTTCCTAAAAAGAAAGAAGAACCGTCCATAAGCAACACGGCAGAAACCCAGAGGCAGAAGAAGAGAAACTTACCTAAGAGAATCCAGTAGCCAGAGCCAGGGACGTTGATATCGCCGAGGGTCAAAGGGAACCCGTGGACAGCGAATCGGACGTCGAGAGCTATGGAAGAAGAATGGTAAGTAGGGATTCAGGAGCCAAGGGAAGAAATGCCGTAAGAAGAAACAGAAGCGCCGTGAACATAACTTACGAATTGCGCCACAAGATGGAAGAGAATACAGCCCCGACGATTGGATTAAGACCGTTACGACCGTAAAGAAGGGTTAGCAAAGTGAAAAATCATCCAAAACGAAACAGACGAACTAAACGCTTACCTGCCCATCCCGAGGGATGTGAGCGATCGAAAGGAAGCGTCCGCCCTGAAAATCATCGTACTGGGATACTATCACAATCATGATTGTGGCCCCGGAAATCATAATGCCGTAAGAAAAAAAAAAAAAAAAGCAAAGCAAGCCCTACGAAAAGAGAACCTACACAAAACCTAAAAATAATTTAGAAAGGGTGACGTGGATGGTGAGAAAATTTGAAGACACGTACCTACGGAAAAACCAGCCCCGACGAAAACCCCGGAATGCCGTAGATCACGAACCTTAGATCGTGATGATCACCGCCGGCAAGAGAAAATTCCGGAACCTAAAGATACAAAAAAAATATGTTGTTAGTGGTGATGGGACCATTGGTTATGGGTCCCGTCTGTGCAAAGTTTCGAGTGGATGAGATATTGTGGGTAGGATGGGCAGCCATGAGGTTGTGACTGTCAGTTCCCACCATCGCGACTCGATGCACTACTGCAATGCCTAAAGTGGGCGACTGTTCTTAATTGAATGGGATAGTCAAGCCGTCTCAAGGTGTTCTACATAGAGATCGCTTCTTATGGGTAACAGTGTGTATAATAAACCTTTGCTTTCTAATGGCCAAATTGCTGGAACGCCTTTCTATTCTCAGTACCGTTAATGGATGGAAACATGTATTAACACCGGTGGACTTGATCTCATCCGGGTATGGTTAAAATCTGAGAGGGAATTAGATTTTAGAAACAAGGTCTATGAGCCGTAAAGGTTAAGAGGCAACTAGCAGCCAAGTTCCCTAAGATCCGTGCGTGATGGCACAGTTGAATGGTGGATACTCTGCTTGCAAGTGTATTACATCAATGAAGACAGGGAAAAGGTTCACAGACTAGAAGGTCATCAGCGAAGTATATTCCAATGTACACGTACCAGCAAGGTAGCATTCCTTTAGTTAGGCGTGTCTTGTATCTGGATTGGTGTGACGGGTTATATGGAGCTGAAAGGCATAGTCGATGAAAGGAGAAATCTGTGTTTGGGCGGATGTAATGTCCTATCCAAACTATGGTACATGTCATTTAGTCGGGACCGCTCTTTGGACTTAGATGTAACATTTAACTCCAAACGCTTGTCTAGTCTAATATAAGGTATAGGAACCTATACTGAGGCTACTAAGGGAAATCAAGGTGCGTTGTGGCATAAATCCTTATGTATCACTTAGAGTGAGGACGTAATAGTCTGTTTCCCTTTCGACGATGGCTTAATAGGGTTAATACCCCTGAGTACCGAAACCCACTTATGTACGAGTGTTATTTGGTTGAACGACAATTTAGTATTTGCATGGTTTACTTTAAGAAACCAGGAGGTTTTGGTTTCCATGTAGATGTAGTGGAATTCATTATTGTAATATGTAGATTAATTGAAGGAGAATGCGTGAATTTTCATACAAAATGTTGAGGTTGTAATCGACTTTTCTATTTACTTTGGTTGAAGACCCTGTTACGCAAGCGTAAAATAATCGTGTGTACGTGCGGACGGTGGTTGCCCTGGAGGTATTGGAGCAATTACCACTAACGTGAATGGTTATTTGAATGTACCCTATCGACCTAATTCGAAAGTATTTATACAATGAACCCTGTTAAACAACCGTGTTGATTAGTATTCCAACATGCGCATGAGATGCCCTGGGAGATGTGGAGCATCAAGTGGTAGTGGAGGAGACGCTAATCATAACTAGGTAGACAGGAGGCAGCCTAGGCGGGAGATTCTCGAGGGTGGAGCTTTAACTATATTTCATTTGTATAATTATGGACGTATGAGGTGCAGCGCGAGTTACCTGGGGGTTAGCCGTAACTATATTCTTATGATACTGCGTAAATAGTCAAAAAGTATGTTAATTAACGTTTATCTGGATATTTTGAAGCATTGAACGGTAAAGGATGAAGCGAAATAAGATTCCTTATTGGAGGCATTTGTATGAACCAATATATCATAGTGTTTTCTTTTGGCGAGGCGTACCGAGGGTTACTGAATATTTCATGTCGGGCAGATGTATGTTTGTATCATACATGGTGTTACTCAAGAGCCTTTGGGAACCTCGCTGCGAGAAGGTGTTCCGGTGGCATTGATATGACACTTAAGTCTACCGTATTGAAGGATAGGTATATACACGGGAGATACATATAGTACTGTCTTGGGGTAGTTGCAACGGACTATCCAAGCCCGGGAGGGTAAAGCCTAAAAGCAACGCGGGCGGTGGCTGCGACTCGTGTCAGTACTGTATCGATGTAAGTCTTTGGAAAACAAAACTATGATATAGAAGCTAAATACTGTGTAAGATAAGGATATTAGAACAGATAATTGTCAATTAACCACTTCAGTTTTGTACGAACCAATCTAAATGAGAGTAACTCCCCTGTTCCCAGGGAGTGTTGAGAGAACATATATAATTGTGGTTGACCAGGGGCCTCATCTAAACATGAGCTGTTCCAAGATGGAATCAAGAGGTGATGAGTGGAAGATGAGGATGGTAAAGTTATATATGTTCAACCCTGTCCAAGCGGCAAGTAATTAGAGCACGTGAATAAGACTCTTTTAGCGACAGCTTAGGGGGGTGTCTCGAAACTACAAGGTCAACGACTGGAGGAACACGGTTAAGAAAGGAATACCTAACAAGGTATTTTACACCTAGCTCTATCAATTGGCGTAAACCGTACGGTCACACGAGTGATCGGTCTAGGACAAATTTAGCTTCGAGTTATTTCCCTGGTACTAGATAGTCGAACTTACGGAGCGTTTCAACAATAACTAGGTCCGGCTGTGTTACGAAAGCGTTGTTTACAAATGTCTTTTGGGAAGTGGAAAACTTCTGTCAGATTTAGACTTGTATGTTAATCTCAGGATGAAATGCTAAGTACAAACGAGGTGAATAACAGTACTCGTTACATAGGAAAAAGGCATTTATGACAATTCGCAGGTAATAAGTGACTCTATTGTCATCATCATCGGTAAGCTATTGCTGGTGCGCTGAATTGGCTTTAGAGCTTGAATTAGCAATTCCTTTATTACTGGTCATTATTTAGCCCCGATATGACCATCGCTAGAAAGGGATCTCGAATGATGAGGTATATCCCTGACCTGACGGGATCTACGAGAAGAGTGCGATCATGCAAAAGTGATCTACGGATGCCGAGATTTGGGCAATGATCACATCACGATCAGGCGCGAAAAAGGATCCTGCATGGACAATAAAAGAAAAGAAAGTTAACTACCACGATTGACATTGTACACTGAGTGGAACTAACGATCACAATGAGAAATTCACCTACTTCCACCGACGATACCGCTCAAAGACCTGGATCGAGATAACGGTATCCCGACATGACCGAACGACGAATTTTCTATTTTATTTTCATTTATCTTTATATAAAAAAAAATGGATGAGAAAAGCGGGAAACAGAACAGAGTGTTAGTTTAGGCATAGCTTACCTTAAATATTTCGATCATTATTTTTCGATACTTAATTTTTCAGATTTTTAATTATTAGTATTTCTTTTGGTTATTTTTTCTATTCTATTCTATTTTTAAAGAAGTGGAAAAAAAATATCAAGTGAAAAAGAACATTAATTTTACTTTATAGTTAATAATTCTTATTTTTAGAAATCCTTTTGAAATTAAAGAAATAGTTAAAAATATTTATTACTTTTTGATTTTTTATTTCCTATGGTTTATGCAAATAAATAATATTGAATTCAAATATAGTCGTAAACAATCTTGATAAGTAATTTGTATAACAGTAGTTAGTGGTTAACCAATCATGAAGCACATACAAAAATTGTATCAATAGGTTAAGTGGTTTAAACTAGTGGTAGGAATTCCACCCTTTAAGAGTGCAGAGCACATTGCCAGATATAATAAGTAAATAGGCTAATATTTAGCTGTAGTCATAGCATTACAAAGGATGTTTGATGTATTGAATGTTGTAAATATTCTAATGAATATACAATAAAGATTTGCATTTAATATTGTTTTACTTTAAAATAATAATAATAATTTTTAAAAATCTAAAAAGTTATAAATATAACCTTTTAAAATTCTAAATTCAATTAAAAAATATTTAAAAAAGCTTTAAAAAATTTAAAACTCTTTCTTGATCTTTTTATATTTTTTGGAAAAGATAATTATTTTTATAAAAACTTCAATACTTTTGTTAAAATTATTTTTAATTATTATTTAAGAAAATTTTAAGTTAAAACCTTTAATCTAAATTTTAAATAGATCAATAAATATTATTTTCTAAATTATATTTCAAACAATACTTTTGATAAGTTAATCTTAAAAAAAAAATTAAAAAAAGATCTTTTCTGACCACATCTGTTTTGCTAAAATTTTCTTTTTATAATAATTGTTAAAAAAATAAGTTTTACTTTTTTATTACAAGTTTTAGTTCAAAAACTCAAAATCTTTAAAACAATTAATGCAGTGAGATAGAAACTTTGATCATAATCTATTCAAGTTTGAGAATCTTGCTTATTTTTTAGTTACATTTGAAAAGACCTATAGCAATTCTCATTTCTTTTACTTCTTTATACTTCTTTTTATTCTTATTATATTATAAAAACTATTTATATCAATATTATCACATTTATTAAATTAAATATTTTATCAAAAACACATTAAAACAAAATTATTGAACCTAATATTTGTTTCAAGTTAAACTTTATATATAATATTACTATGCTGCTATTCCTTTTGCTGAACACAAAAAACAAATATTTCAAGGAAATTTTTATATTTCTTTGTAATAAAGTCTATACACTTTTATTAACAATACTTACACCAAAAGACTACAGTCTTCCCCACTTGTTTCTTTTTTTCTTTGACATAAACTTCTTGTATTTCTGTGAGTAAATATAAGAAATACCTACCTATAAAGTTAAAGGCAAGAAAACTTTATTAGAAAAAAAAACCTATAGAAAAAACACTCTTCTCTCTTCCTCTAGAGATTCAAGACTCTAGAAAAGACTGGCACAGTTTTTGGAACTCTTCTCTCATCTTCCTCAAGCTTTCTCCTATCTTTTCAAGTGTGTAAACTTTTTCCTGGTTTTTCTGAGGAATTTTGTCTATCTCAGTTTAACCCTGAATTTCTGGTTACACCAGAATTCTTGAATGATGATTGGCTCGAATTTAGGATTAGTTGATCTACATGTAACAAGAAATGTAAACAAGACATGTAACTTTCACATGTTCCATCTTGCACAACACTGAATCTGATAATGCAATTGGTTCCAATGGAAAGAGCAAGGTGATGAGATGTCTGCTTTGTAAAGAAGAAGTTTGAAGCTCTCCCCCCTCCTCTCTTGTATTGGTTTTGTTTTTCTTTAAGATTAAAGAAAGATCTTATCCCAGGTACAGTAATAAGCTTCTTTTGTTACTGATTATCCTGAAAATGATTGGAGAAAGGGGTCTTGAAACTATCTACTGGTTGAATGAAGTTGTAATTCCTTAGAAAACCAGCTGGAAGAAAAATCGCCAAATAATATATCAACCCTCTTCAAAGATTAAAAGTCTTCGAGTATAAAGTTTCAAGAATTACTCTCCTGAAAGTGCCCTTAAATGTTATTGGTTAGTAACAAAATGGTGGAAATTGAATAGGTATCCAGCTGTAGACAGTCGGACTCAAGATTGACTCCAAGGAGTTTTTATTTGTCAATACAAACTTTTCACTTTTAATATTTCCCTTTCCTTTTTTTTTTCTATAAAAAATAAAAATTTTTTTATCTCCATAGGACCACAGCAGTTGTATAGAGATGACAGTCTTGGAATGAAGGCTGGCTATGAAATTGAGAAAGACAAGAAGTGTTCTCCAAAATTGAACAACTTTTTCATTTCCCCACAATTACACTTAGAGGCCACTGGCTATTGATGAGTGTTCTGCAAGATCACATAGTTTAGCTTTAGTATAATATTATCTTATATTGTATTACTGTATTTTTGTTAATTA